AAATGTGACTGCTTTTAAATATAAATAAACTGTGCAGTCTGCTAAACAAGGATTAACTCTACTGATTTTCATGAGCATGACTGATGACACAGTTTCCAATCCTGTGCTCACAGAACATATGCAATTCTCCATGTCTATGGTGAAGGTTTGGATGATTGAATATGAAGGCAGCTCTGGGATCACAGTAAGAAAAAACATTCAGAAATAAATTTATTTTCAACCTAACGTGCATTAACAGTTGATCATAGTCAAAAAAGGAAAGAGCAAGAGAAGAAAGGGGTATGCTGAAAGGAGAAAACTGTAAATGCAATGGTGTGGAACTGTGTGGCTCTTAACAATCTGTTTTAGTTTTAGTTTTCATACTGATTTGAAGATGTTGCTGTTAATCTTCAGTATTAAGGAACAATTCACTTTAAACTTCCTTTGTGGTGTTCAGTGTTTTAAAATTTTGGAAAGAAATTATTTGTAAAAATACTGGGATCTGAGATTTGGGCTTGCTTTGCTTTTTAATTGTCTCCAGCTATGATGAGAAAATTAGGGGCCAAAAGAGACTGTTCTGGAGGTGTCCTTAAGGAAACTTCATGAGGTTACTTTTTTTTTCCCTGCAAAGGCCCTGCTTCCTCCCATGCAAAATACAGAGAAGTCTGTGGATGGAAATAAGGTTGCTGTGTGGAAATGGGAACGTTACAGGCACTCTGTAACTCCTCTATAGTGCCTTGTCGATGAGTAGTTCCCAGACTAGGCAAAATGGTGTGAAAAGAAACCAGAAGTCCACAGCTGTTCAAGTCTAAAGACCACCGTGCTCAGTAGCTGTTTTCATGATACTATTAAATTTATAAACCATGTCTATTTCCAGAGTTCCCAGCATCTAATAACACTTGCCAATGTGAATTGTTTTTTTCTGTATTCTCTGCAGCATGGCTGTGGAAATTTTGTGCGTGTGATACAGTCATACAACCGCACGCACCTCTATGTGTGCGGCAGCGGCGCCTTCAGCCCCGTGTGTGTCTATGTCAACAGAGGGCGCAGGTCCGAGGTAAGTCCTTTTGCATTTCATCCGACCATTTTGTGGTGCATCTTACTAGAGTTACGCAAAACACAAAATGCAGAAATCGGTGGTCCACGCAGGCTCCTTCACCCATGTTAAATAGGAAAAGAACAAAGATCCAGAGATTTCTGACTTGTTGGCAGCTAGAAGCAAAGCCACGATCAAAAGCCATGCCTCAAATATGATGGTTGTCCAAAATTCCACAGTCATACCAAATGCTGGGCTACATTTGATACTACTTTTTATTTGACATTGTCTGGTGAATTCATTCCCGCTATTTGTTGGAAATTTTTCCAGGAAATGCTTGAAAAGAAATAGCCATTTAGATAAAAAGTAAAATATGCAGTCCACTTTTAATAACTTCCACGTGTTACTGATTCCTGGGAGAAGTCCTTAAGTGGGCTAACTGTTCAGGTATGTGAAGGTTTGCTGGACTTCAGCTTCATACCTATTAGATGCAATCCCAGTACAAGTAACTTTCGTTTACTGCACAAGTTTTACTCTATTAGATTCTGCCAGGATGGAGTCAGTAAGTTTTCCTGTCATGGCGTAAATCTTACTCTCTATAGATGGGTCTCCGTTTTTTTTCCTATGTTCAGTTTCACTCTGTATTTTCAATGTACAAAGTACCAGATGTTTCCATAAGTATATTGTCCAAATTTCCTGATTTGAAAGTGAAATGTTTGTTTATGTGCAAATGTAATAGGTAATAAATTAAGCAACCAGAAGTAGAAAGAAAAGAACTTAACTGAGACCCAGGACCTCAGTAGCTGTTGGGTCAGATTAATGTCTGCAGGCACAAGGGTTTGCAGTATATTTGCCTCTACAATGCGGAAGCAGACGTGTTGGGAAGGAAGATCGGAGCATGCTACCTGGAGTTCTGCCATGCAAGGGCAGCTTTAAAAGCTGGGCTGGCTCCTAGGCAAGACACTGGGAAATTCATCACTGATTTCAGTGGAAGTGGGATGGGAATTCTGGCCAAGACCCAACAGTACTGCAGATGTTGCTAGGGAGGTGATAAATCATTGTTTCTCCAGGTAAGTGACTTTGGGTAGATCCCTACTTGGCATCAGCCTTCTTAACAGAGTGTGTCCTTTGAATCACTGTACCTTCAGTCCTAATGAACAGTCTAAAAGTAGAGTTTCATAGGCCTGGATTTAAAAGCACAAACAAACAGAACTGAATAAGCAAATCCATCCTTCTGGTTAACAGTCTGCATTAATTTATTTGGATATATTTTGAAACAGAGATCAGCATCTTTCCTCAGCATCATCCTATTGCTTGACAAAGTATTTAAAACATGGGAAGTGATCTCATTTGTATCTACTTAATGCAATTTTCCTTTATCAGCTTAAGCAGTAGTACTGTACCCCACAGAACTCTGAAACTCATGATTTTATGGGTTTTGTAAATAAGATTGGGAGCGGGGAGAGGGAGGGCAGGAAACGCCATCTCCAGATGATGCAAGATGTTAAATTTCTTAAGTTAAAAATAAAGATACATGTCTTGGAAGAGCAGAACTGGCTTCACTTAGCCTGTCTGTATAGCTACATGCCTATGATCAATTGATTAAATAAACTGCTGTTTCAGACGTCTGGAGTCTGTCAGACACTTGACTGTAGGCATCGCATGCTCAAAGCTATTACTGTACAGGCCAACAATAGCATAACAGTTTAAAACCACGCATTTCCTTCTGAACTCATTGCATATATCAGTGCATGACTAATTGGTAGGGCAGAATGAAGAACTATGTAGTGCTTATGGGACTAGTGAGAACTCTTTTTTTCTCTGCTTTTATCATTTCACCTTTAATTTAGTACAGTTTTCCATGCACAGAGGGCTGTTTCTGCACATGCAAAATGGATATTTTAGAAATCACATCTGGTTTTCTCTAGAAGCTACAAAGCAGTCAGAATCATATCCAGCAATCATAAGAACTGGGCCTGTTTTGCTCTTTTGTCTCCAGGATTCCACATAATATCACAGAAAAGGTGGTTTCATTGATGGGGTATTGAAACAGAGATTAAAAATTAATTAATTTTCTTGCTTGGCACACTTGATGCTTTGGTCTTTGGTAATTATGTTCTTAGTCACCAAAATATATTCTAATGTCGAAGTAAATGCAAACAGAAGGAAATGTAATCACTATGTGAATTAATTATAGACTAAAAAGTAGTTTAATATATATGAAAATCAAGTGTAATCCTGGAGCTAGTTTAATAGTGCAGTAATGGGCATTTTGAACTGGTAAATAGTGGTTTAATATAGTAAATATGGATTAACATCAAGCTGCACATTAATCTAGAAGTAAAACAACAACAAAAATGAAACCAAAATCACATTAGAAACTTCATGATTATGTTTTAACACCGTTTGGAGAGCTTATGACTGAAACAACAGATAAGATCTCTGTGATTAAATTAGGCAAAACAGAAGAGGGGGAAAAGAGATGGGGGATAATGAATATGAAAACTTCCTGCTGTAACTGAGTATTTTATGTTGGTAGAGTCTCCAACTTGCTGTCTGCAAATGGCTGCTCAGAGATCTAGGTGGCATCCCTGTTTCCCTGAGATTTACATTAATTGTTAGAGGGAATATAAATAGTTGATGCGTTTACTTGAATAACTGATACATTGCCCTCTACATCACCGAAGGCTTTCTTAGGAATTTTTGTCAGCTACCTTTTTCTGTTGAAACAGAAATGTTTTAAGTTTGGGTGGTTGAGCCTTTTTTTGCAATTGTCTTTTGGTCTTTCATTAAAGATGAGAAGTTTGCTGTAGGAGGCTAGGAACAAGTTGTTTGTTTGGTATACAGTGGTATGTGAGTCTGTGTACTGTGGATCAGTGTCTCTGCCATAAATGACCACAGTTTTTAAGGAATAGACTTGAACCCAAGTCACTTCTTGCTCTTCAGTATTGCTAGGAACAAAGAAGTGAAGGGATACACTGAGATGGGCAAGTTTTCTAAAGGTATTCAGTCTGTTTCTATTTCAAGCTGTAGTCCAGGTTGTTTCTACTTTGCCAAATGGATTTCCTATTTAAAAATCACATAAAATATAAACAAATCCCCATACCAAGATTCTTAAACAGCAAAGAAATTCCAAGCTATTTCAGGCTTGATAAATCATCTATCACTAGATGGATCTGGCACTGTACACGTAATATGAGATGGTATTGGAGAAAATAACTATGACTTAGGGGATTTTTGGAGGTCTGATAGCTCAGTAAACAACAAATTATTTATACTAGCACCAAATTACAGTTGTCAGAAGAGATTTTTATTTAATATGTTTTATTGTTCTAGTAACTTTATTAAAATGTCCTAGACTAGGATAAGTATCGCCATGTTTTCAGCAAATAATTGATAAGTAATTTCAAAAACACAGAAGTAATCTCCACAAATGTTAGTGTGGAGATCAGTCAACCTCTCCAAAGCATAACTGAGCTAGAGGGGAAGATTCTTTGTTTCAATGTCTTGAATTTATAACAAAAGTCTTGGAAAAAAACCTGGGTAGCAATGAAAAAGTTGTCTTAAAAAGATAACGAAATTCTGAGTAGTAAAGCTAAACTGATGATAGGACAGTAAAAGTGCCCAGCAATGATGAACGTTGTTAGTGCTAGAAACAGCCAAGCATAAAAATCACTTCACATGTGATGGTTTCTGAAATGAGAAGTGACACACAAATCTACATTGCAGGAACAAGTCTTCAAGATTGACTCCAAGTGTGAATCAGGAAAGGGACGCTGTTCTTTCAACCCTAACGTGAACACGGTGTCTGTTATGATCAGTAAGTAAAGATACTCCAAGTTGCTGAGGTCTAAACCCATATGATCATGTGTGGTGTGGATTAACGGGATGTGTGAAATGAGCTGGACACAGCATTCAGCCCCCAAGGAGCAGTACTTATGCCTGGCTGATGGGCACAAATACTGGGTCCATCCTTGTTCCAAGGTTTACATGCAGCTAAAGGTGGATATACAAATGAAATGCAGGAAGAAGTTGTTGGAAGGGGGAGAAACAGAAAACAAAAGGTTGTCCCTTTTCCAGCTTACACATTTTTTCCCAGGATCTGTTTCAACTATACATTATCCTGTCTAGCATTTTATGTTTGAACAGTTTCTGACCTTGTTCATCCTAGGCAGCTCTTGTGTCTCATTTAATTATTTGTAAAATCTCAGAGTAGCCAGGGAAAGAAAGCCTGAAGACTTTAGTTACTTTGAATTTCATTTTTGTTGTCATCTCTGCTGTAGAGCCCACCAGCTATTGCAAGGCTCTTCATTCTTCAATTGGCTTTAAACCCAAACAATTTTGCAGATTTCTTCCATTAAAAGTCCAGAAAGTGATACAAGTGACACACCTCAAATACTCTTGTCAATTGGTGGTGACTGGGGTCAGTGACTGTGAGATATACCCGTCACAAGGAGTTACTGCAGTGTCTGTTGCACACCTAACTGAAGACTTAGAGGGTGCATATGCTCTGTGCAACCAAAGTCATTAGTAAAACACAATTTCTTTGTTTGTTTTCTAACCACAAGATGTGTTATATATACTTAGTGTAACCCAACCTTTCACATTTGCAGCATGTTCACAGACTTCTAGTGCCAAAGCCTTGATTTTTCAACATGTGCCTAATCCTTGCTATATTTTCGGCTATGAAGGGAACAGCAGTTGAAGACATTTTTCAGGCTTTCTTAGCAAATAAAGCTTAGTACACAGGTACAAGTTTACAAGGGAACAATGTGTGGTGTTTCTGCCATTCAGCTTCCACTGAAACTGATGGCAACTACATATTGTGCCACATACTTGCTTTAAAGTTTGAGTCTTACGGAGCTTAAGGGAAGTGTCACATAGCCTGTCCTATACTGTCTGTTTGAAATACAAATTACTTTTTTTTTTCTTAATTCCTTATTGCAAATATATTTAGTATAAAGGACAAGTAATTTCATTCAGAGGTATGAACCAAAGCATCTTTAGAAGACAGGTAAATACTCCCTAGGTACCTCTCTGAACCTTGGCTGCACTTACTGTCTCTATCTCATCAGTGATCTATGGTGAGTGTTTACAGATACTCACTGCATAAAGAACATGCTTATTCAAAGTCAGCGATGGATTAATCCACTGCTACTCATTGCTGTTCTGGTATTACTAAGTGAATCAACTGGCACTAAAAAATAAAGTTTCCTTTCCTTGTTCCTTCTAGATTTTATAAAACACCATAAAGGTACATTGTTTCTGAATTGCTGTGTATACAGTAAGCTGATTTTTTTCTACAATGGATCTATGGAAGCTTTGTTCATCTTAGTGAACTTTATGTTATCTTCCTTGATGTCTCAGTTATGTGACTGAAAAGACCTTCCCTAGTGTTTGACTTACCTTTCATGACATAATTTCATCTACAAAGTTTAAATTATTCCACAAAGGTCACATTCCTTTTCAAAAGAATCACACAGATTGGGTTTTATACTTTCTCCTTATTACTACAAAGTCCAGTCACTTCAAAAACTTTAAGCTCGAATGAATTTAGCCTCAATATCCATGCCAGAAAAGGGAAGATTTTGTAAGTCACAGCTTGAGTTATGATGAGAGGACCGAGCCCATATACTGGACTCTTCTTTAAGCGTTCTTTT